CGAAACTCGTGCCACTGGATATGTTTATCGGCTGTGTCGACAGCAAGTCCAGCTCGTATGAAGTGCTGACGTGTGGTAATTATACCTACTTCGTCAGTAAGGTTATATAGAGCGGTCACAGGCGCCTGTAGGCTGTCAGGTGAACGGAATGCATCTGGTAGATGGCGTTCTAGAAAGGCATACGTAACACGATCGAGGGGTCGGGTGATGAGCTTGGCCACCTGAGAGCGTTCTCCTCGTTTTTTTTTCTGAGATCGATAACGAGTGTGTGCGATGCTGCAACAAACGTAAAGGAATCTCATGTGAACGTCCGGTTTGTACCTCTTCTGGTCCCGGAGAGCCAAAAGACTGCGATGAGAGCGCGTCAGTTCGTCGGAAGTCCTGTTGCATCCAAGACCTGAGCAAGCCATGTGGCAGAAATTCGAGGCTTGTCAGGTGTGGTAGGGTGGTTTCCTTGGTACCACAGGGAGATATACCCCTGTACTGCTCGCTGCCATGTCGTGTCGTCCGGAGGGATCAGACCATGGCTTCGTGCATAACTGTTGACTGCTGCTCGGATCTGACGGATTTGATCTGGAGCGCAGCCTTCATAAAATCAAAACTCTAAGAAGTGCAAGAGCTGATCTCGAGTCGGAATGGTGGTGGTAAGATTATGCCTAGTGGCGTAATTGGTCCAAAACTGGAACGCTATCCGGTAGTTCTCCTGAGTGCCCGGCGCTAACTCTCCATTCCGTAATTGTGTCCACACTCGAGCACGATCTATCGCGGCAGGGGCACGCTGCCGCCTGGCTCGTACAATACTGCTCCGTATAGACGCGTAGGGAGGACTAACCTGTTGAGTTCGTTGGCTACCGATACTGGGTAGTGTACCGCGCCCGGCTCTAGGATAGTCAGCTCTTTGCCATGTCGAATGATGTGAGGCCACCAAATGGCCTTCTGCCAAATTGGAATTATGAGGAATGCTCGGCGTAGTCGTCGTTCGAGTTGCTCGAGTATCTGGCCCAGTATTGTCTCTGGTGGAGCGAGAAGCTCCAAGGACTGGTCCCACTTGTTGTGGAATCTGTTCGCGAACGATACATGACCGTGGTGTGCTTTTAGGAGGTAGTAGCTGTTTGGATAAGTTCGTTCCGCTGCATTCGGTCGAATATGCTACTTTTGGAATATCGATAAGATTGCTTCTGGAGTCACAGTCCAATGGTACTGGAGAAGCTGGCCGTTGCGCGAAAGTATATTGGATGCTAAATGGAGCTTCCCCGGCATGTACACGAGAGCTACTGGCCAGGGAGCTTTGTTCTGGTGACAGAACCGTACTAGCCGGCGAAGTTGAGCGTTCATTAGCTTCGACTTGCTCCTTCTCTTGCGCAGAGCATGTAGCGCAGTGCTGCTGTCTGTGAGCTGAGAAGTGGGTAGGTTTCGATCTTTGTGTTGTTGAAGAAGAACTCGAAGGCTAGAACGAGTGCTTTTAGTTCTAAGAATGGAATTGGCCAGCCGTTGGGATCCAAGTGCCGGCAAATGTGTGCGTGGTATGTTTCCATCGGAGCGTGGCACCGAAGCCCACCTTCGAGGAGTCGGAGGTGATAGTTGCTTGGTGGTCTTCGAGCCATAATTGTCAGTAGCAGAATATCTCCACCAAGAGCGAAATGCGCTCTAACTTCTTGAAGGTCGCACCCGAGAGTTGTATCCGAAAGGTGTGACTCCAGGTAGTTGACTGTTGGAAATCTGTTATAAAGGGCCTCAAGCTGAGTACGGAGAAACCCGCCCACTGGAGGCAACCTAAGAACGATTGACAAACTCGGGTTGGTATGCGCCGCTGGTTCTGTAGACCCGAGCTCCGGATTGCCTCTGCTAGTCTCAGGACCTTCGCCTTGAACTATGGTATCATCTCGATGGTGTTTGCTCTCAAGTCTATGATAACGCCTAGATGTTGGAGTCTGCCTACAGGTGTTATCCAATAACCTTTTCCTGGTGCGAATTGGAGTTGAAACTCAATGGATATTGCTGTTATAATCCTGGCATGCTTCCGACAAGTCTTTGGCCGTCCCATCAACAGAAGATCGTCGACATACAGTATTATTCGTATCCCTCGAGCTCTTGTTACTTTCCTCACTACGTCCATCAGCTGGTTAAACCATGCTGGGGAGAATGTTGCCCCCATCGGTAATGCTAGGAAGCACCATAGCTGGGGCTTATGGTCGCGAAATTGCCAGATCCTGGGGCTGGCAACAGCTACTGACATAGCTACATCCCCCGGTCTCGCAACGAGCGCCAATTTTTCTAGACCTTCTGTTCCGAAGGTCTTCTTCTGCACGTGAGCGTTGATGCTTTCCGGATTTAGAATCAATCGGCCTCTCTTCCGTCGGATTTTGGTATCATAAATGCTGAGTGTACCAAAGTTGCCTCCGATTCCTGGCAACGTCGGATAATTTCGCCCTGTTCGAGTCGTAAAAATTCCGCCTGGATCATCGCCTCGTCCACCTCCGGAATTGTTATCCACTGACCCTTCGTCGATGGAGGTGGAGGCCTTTTCGGCCCCCACTTGGGCCGCACTCCATACTTGATGGCCTGCAGAAGCTCCTGGGATGCTCCGTTCTCTCTCCATTTCGCTAGGACACTTCTTACCTCGCAATACAGAGGGGCATTCGGATCGATCCTGGGAACACTGCCGTGCGGCCGTTGCGGAGCTAGTCGTCCTTGGGCCTGAAATTTTGCCCCGGACGATGCAGCGCGAGTTCGTGCTGCTTTTTCTTCGTTGCTTTGACGAATTTTGAGATATCTAAAGAATTTTGGAATGTGGGACGTACCTGATGCTCTACAAGAGCTGCAAATTCTGCTCCTTCCTTTACTCTGAGTCGCTTCAATTCCACAGTCTGACCCAAATCCTTGACTAGGGCCACAATTACTCCACGATACGCCTGCTCCTGATGCTCCACAGATAGGCCTCCCAAATCGATTTGCTTTAAACAATAGGCCAGATAATTGGCGCAGGTTAAAATATTTGTCAATTTCTGAATAACTGGAGCCTTTTGCTTTTCGTACCACGACAGAGTCACAATTGGCGAGTTCTTCAACCCGTCTGGAAACCAAGCGTGGTCCCGGCACCACACAGCTGTAGCAGAGTTCTCACCCACACCAGTGCTCCACTCGCCGTTAGACGGAGCCGGACACTCCAAAACGGTGTTGAAGTGTTCTGGTGTTGAGACTCCGGTGATGTGTAACCGAAGTCCGTATAAAGAATTACGCCCTGAACCAAAGACAGCGTAACTACGTTCTCGATTTCGATGTTTGTTCGTTCGGCGGCGTCGCGAGGATGAACTGAATTAGCTGGATTTACGTCCATTGCGACTGCAAGGGATGCTGATGTTTGATATGAGAGCCAACGCTTATACTTAATTTAAGTAGAAGGAAATATGGATGAGGAAGTGTCTCCACTTCATCGTTCTTTTATACTCCTATGTTTTATATATTTGTCCCATTTCCGAGTTTTTGATCTACGTATCAGTTCTTCGTCCTCTTCTTGTTGTACGCGGAACTGCTGTAGTATATCATCTGTGGACACCTGATCGTGCTTGACCCGTGTGGGCAGCTTTGGTAACTTCGAACCAGGTTTTAAACTTTTTGTAAACCCAAACATCACTGGTCGTCCAAAATATTCTTTTCGGGATATGGCACACCTCATTCTCCAATTCCGCACTGTGCTCACGCTGTACCCCAAAACGTCAGCTGCTTCCTGGTGTTTAACGCTTGTGTCATACAGAATGTTTCTCGCAATTACAGCAGAAACCATATTTATTTTCAGCTGTGTTTGATTTCCTTTACAAGTTACTTAACATGTTCGGGGGTTTTTTTTGCGTTTCAGCATGTTGTACTAGTTTCTATCAGATTGTACCAGATTTGTGACACATTCCTGTCATATTTGACCCCGCGAAGATATTAAGAAGAAACATGTTTAAATCATGTCTGAACGTACCTGGATGTGTTCTGGCATGTCAGTATCTCGTTAAATGATCTAATATGTTTGGATATGTTAGTAACTCGTTCAAATATATTACTAATTTGATTTTTGCCTTAAAATGATTGCATTGTGGGTATAAAATATGACATCTAAGAATCCGAAAAACTAGCGGCCGACCATTCCCAACGCCGTTGACATTGTGCGCGAGTATGACGAAGCCTTGAAAGAAGACGAGCTGTCTATCCAACGGCGTCATGCAGAAACAGCCGACCTTATCACCAAGCTCGGCACCCAATTCGCTGACCCAAATCTACCCAGCGACAAATACAACACCCTTGTCGACATTTCTCTCCAGAAACTGCACACACAGAACGAGTACATCCGCACGATAAACACTGACTGTGTACAATTCAAACGGGTCGCAGATCTGAATATGATCCGAAACGTATACAAGAAACCCTATAAATATACTTCACCCCAATCTAATGCTCAAAACAACAACAGACCAAAACGGGCCACTGGCACCGTTATGGCAAAGTTGGCACAAAGTTTAGACGCCGATACCTCGATGAACATCGCACATTAGCCCACGATTGGTTTACCATGCGTTCCGGATGGACACGATGTATAAGGCCGACTCAATACCTTAATGGACTGCGATGTCCGCGTTACTTCTTTGTTAATACTTTGACACACCTGATTTTTGTCTCTGTTCAACGCGTTGTAGCACTAAGGTAACACGACAAAATATTCATTTATTCTAGACACATCAGCACTGATTTGCTTGTGGCTAGACAGCTGACTGTACGAAACAATTCCAGCCGTCATAATCGAGAATGTAACAAAAGTTATCACTTTCATAACCATGATCATTTGTGCCGAGTTAAGGTTTATTTCTATCATCGATGATACGTCAATGTATTGAATATATTTGTAACGGGTTATTTCATCAGTCCTACACCCTTTAAGTCAGAGGTGTATGACAACAAACGACACACCGATATTAAAGACTGCTAGTTTATTCTCACGTTAATATCATAACAGTATCCTAATACTTGAAAATACCTTTCTTCTTGAGTTCAGCGACCTTCAATTTTCGCATCATTATGTTGTGCACAAGGGTGCCTTCGTTAGTTTGGAATCGCATATCACTGTATAGTGAACGCCACGACGTCTCAACCTTGTCTGCGTTCTCATTGTAGTAATCGGAACGCGCTACATAAGTTGTGAAAATGGTACAACCGTGCTTATAGCCAAAAATGGATTTCACAAGTCCAGCAAACCTGAAATAGTCCCGCGTCGTCTCTACTGGGAGGCAGGCCTTGTTATGGATATCCCTGACCCGGCATCGACCAAAACAGAAGCGCGTTCTGATCGATGCTTCATGGACAGCAATTTCGTCTGTTGACAACTTGTCCGACATCCCCAGCCCTGTTTCTTTAGGACAGGTCTGTACTACCACACGCGGCTCACTAGGTTTGGGTACATCCAGGACTGGCTTTGTCGCATGAACAGGATCGATGGCTGTACCTGGGCAACAAATTACACTTGCATGCATGGCCGCCGTGGTGGACATTGACTCAAGGCACTCTGCGCCACGCAATAACTTGAGCGTGGACCCGTCAATGTTGCTGTACGTACGCTTGCCTTCCACGTCGCGCGTCGTTAGTTTTACTGCGTATGGTGCCCGCAACATCTGGTTGCGCCCATACACCGCCCAGTCTACAGTGTCGCTCACTCCATCGACGTCACTGTGTCAGAAATGCTCTAAAGCCTGATACGTAGTCCGATAGTTCCGTCATGGACGAAAATACGTGTCTGTGGTAAATGACGTGAAAACTGATTTTCCCTGACCTAGACGCAGTCAGCGTTGTCACGTCTTGATAATTGTCACTTTCGTCCCCATACACGGACGTGCAGTATCTGGATCTCGCGCATCCAAAATTGAATAACAAACTGGCGTCGTAGTCTGTCGCATCGCCACGCATATCCAAATCGTAATATTCGCGAACAGGAATATGTGGCAGAATCAGCTCACACGGCGACAAGTCAGGTCTCAAGTACTGATGTGTCAGATACGTCGCTGCATCGCGAAAGAGTGATACTCTGTGATACTTTTGGAACTCGATCACATAGCGATTGTCATGTTTCTTGGCTACGTACTCAACAACCAATTTTTGGCTTCCACTGCATGTCACCCAAGACGGAAAGCCCACTACGTCACTGTTGAACGTTTTTGGTGGCACCAAATGATAGTGAGACAGTACATCAACAGAACCATCGGTCGGTTTTGGTGCATACTCGCTAGGAATATCGGTTTTAGACCGAAATGCAATTGTAAGTAAGTTACAACCAGAAGTCTTCACAACTGAACTAAAGATTTCTGGTATAAGTATTTGAACCGTGATTGTTATAGAAATGAACTTTATTTACAAAAGGCAATAATCTATATATATTTTTTAGGGGCGAAGTTTAACATACTAGCTTAGCGCGATAACGTGCCTCGTGGCGCATGAGTGCGTCGTAGTCAGCTGCCTGAAATTTGGGGATTTGCATTGAATGTAGAAGTCGTGGATCCATTTGATTTGATACACTCCATTGGACTGCCTTTGTACGCGGGTCTCGCCATGCGACAGCGATACCTCTCCCCATGTCACTGACAAAGTTCAAGTTTACATAGAGGCACCCTTCGTGTATTAAGTGGTGGTTTTCCGGCTGAAATACTGAGTGGTTGAAGCTCAGTTTGTTAATTAGATATCCCGAGTCCGGCTGAAGGCACGTAGTCAACAGTTGACGCGACGGATCAACAACACGCTGAACGTACTCCTCCTTGGTGCACCGAGAGTCGAATCTCATGTTAAAGTGTCCATATGTGCGGAGGTCTCGCACAACATTCATACTGTCACCTGATGCCAAGATCTGTAGAACGTGAGTTACCACTATATGGCCATTATTTATGACATCATGTGCAAGCGAAGGGACCATTGCCTCGTCATCCTCGCGCAGCCTGAACATCATCGCGACCGAACGCTTTTTAATTGGATTCCACAGTGCATCCACGCACGAAAGAGACGCCATCTGATCAAACGTGTAATTGGAGATGATCCACATTCTTGGCGGCGCGATGGCAACTTGGTCTACACCCTTCTTCTCCACCATCTTTGCTTGACCTCGTCCGTCGTATCGTAATCCCTTCAACATCAACCAGTCGGCCTTTGATTTCTTGAACTCCTCGATAAACATGCGCGACCGATCCATTTCCGAACGCAAAAATTTGCCTCAGCGTGCACGTCACAGTCCTCAAATCTGAACAGATGTTCATCAATATATACTGTTGGGAAACCACTAGGCGTCATGGCAGTTGCCAACGGAAACCGTAGACTACTCATATGCGTAAGTAGTTTCAAATAAGTTGAACCGCGCTTGGATAATGCTTTAAACTTGTTTCTTCCTTCAAATTTGCCATCCTCCTCTATCAAGTGGTTAGCGTACAAATTCAGATCACGTTCGTTGATTTCAGGTATCACGGAATATGTTTCGGCAAACAGTCGATGTAATTCATCCCAGGTACGCATCTTCTTGGACTTCGTAACTGTATCTGTACCCAGTACCTCCCATTGGCTGTACTGTGGGTATTCAACGTACTGCAATACAATCCACTCGTTACTCGTGACGTGTCGCATATAGGCAATGGACAGATATCGCAAAAATTTCCCGCATACCTTTTGTATTAGTTCCGGGTCATTTCGTGCCCTCAGCGTCGATGGAATTTTTGATATTTCAGTCACCATGTTATTAATCACGGGGGGCTCGACATAAGGTTTTTTAATGCTCATCCTTCCATTTGTTAGCCTTCGCGTCAAAAACGTCCCTGATTTTTTCCGTGTCTGGATATATGACATAGTTTCCATCCTTCATGATGTAGCCCACAGCAGCACCTTTGTCAGGCTCTACAGTTAACGTCTTAGAATCCCAAATCCGAGTCAATTCCGCACAAGCAGCTTTGGTCTGCGTATCTCGTATGCGATCATCACGTCCGAGACTGACATAAAAATGCAAATGACCTGTTGTTTCGCTGTCTTCAATATTTAACTCTTTCAGTGCTTGGCGTCGAAGTTCGTTGCCATTCGCAAATGTATCTGCTCGTGTACGGGCACGAATCAGCTTCGTAAGTTCAACGCTACCCTCAAATGCCACGAGTGCTGAAGAGATGTTGGTATTGGCACCGAAAATATGCAACAGCATCTTAGCTACCATAGTCAGCTCTGCTTCGGTATCAAGCGTGATGGCATTCTGGTATGAAGTCTTAATCAGAGAATATTTATCTATTTAAAAAAAAAGGTCTTCCGAGCGGAAGCTCCACCAGTTTCATCCGCCTTTGTGTTCCTAGCGACTCTGTCGCCCAGGTGAAACGACATGCAGCCCTTATGTGGAAATGGCAGTTTGATGAAAACATCGACCCCCGCTCCCAACAACATCTCGACGCTACGAAAGCAGCTTTAATTCACTATTTCCGCACCAAGCGGGAGGCCCGCTGCACACATGAACGAGCGCCAAAAATTCTTGCCCGCAGCATGGATGCACTACTGAGCATACTTGTCAACTCCACTAACGCAGACATCCTCCAATCTACCGCGGACCGTCTCCAGAAGGCTTACCAAGCAAAGCACGATAAAAACCTCTTCTCACTTAACCCGCGAATCCCGGTAAACGCTAAAGAATCAGCGCGTGCGGAACCCGGACGACTTCATATATCAACGGTCTCCCCGACACAATCATCCGACACGATGGATAGCAATACGCAGCCTCAGCTTTCCACGACGGACTCTTCGACGACAGGCAATGATATAGAAATGGCTGACATCGTCAAACAGGAGAGCCCAGTAGTATTGACCGATGATGAACAATGTTAGGCCCAATGAGGATGACGCTCTTCAACCCACAAGGACTCAACATGGACAACGAAGCACATACAGATAAGTGTTTGAACGTTATATCGATTTTAAGTCAGGTTGATGTTATGTGTGTGGTTGAAACCTGGCATAACACCACATTTCTTAATCATATACGCTCGAACACACACTACCATATCCTACACCACACTACACGGCATAATATCTTACACCCTTCACACTGTGGTATTGGCATCTTTCCAAGCACCACCCATCGAATTTTCAACTTGTACACTCTTCACCGTACGCGGTGTTCTTTATGTTCTTTGGCGTTCATATGGCCGTGTTCTACTTTCCACTCAAATCGCTTACTGAAGAAAACGTCAGGCGATACATGAATCCCCCCGAGATTGGCGGTTTCCAACCAGATGTCGTGTGGGGAGATTTCAACTTCAAAGCCCGGAAGTATGGCCACGCATCTACAAACCACAGACTACGTATGAAAACGATTGAAACTATTCTGCGTAAGACGTGGCACTTAGACTACCTCTATGCTGGCGGCTCAACTAATACTAAACATGCGTATCATCGACCTACCACCCCCGCCTCCCTCCAAACTTATAAGCTGACGGACTACGGTATCTGTGTGACCACACCTTTGGACTCGATCTCCAGATACTTCCCACGAATCAAATCCATCGGCCCAAACAAATACCAGCAATGCCGCCGCCTCCGGACCAACGCCTCCCCTCCCATGGATATAACCGATATCGCCATCGACTGTATCACCTACGCAACAAATCCCGCGCGCGATTATTCCAAGCCGAAATCCGGGCGCATCAGAACCTACTACGGTCGTATCTCACTTTACATGGACCAGCGGAAGGGCTGCTACGAATCCTCGACCGCATCTGGCGCTATGCCACTAACCCACAAATCTTTGGAGGGTTCTATTATGACTTAAACAGACCTTGGGTTCAGCGGCTGCCAAACCACTCGTTCCGCCCACGTCTGACCGCCCAAAGCAATGCTCAAATGTTCAAAGATATTGCGTACCATCGACTGTCTCCGCGCCAACCCTGCATACCGGGTACCGATGACACAGGCGCTACCCTCGCTGGCTACTTTGAGGTCCTATTCAACTCTACAAACCGGTAAAACCGGTACGTGGTTCCACCGGATACCGAACCTTCTCCTGATGTCACTTCCACCATACGCCCCGACGATGTATTGGAGGCAGTACCACGCTATCCCAATAAGGGACCTGGCCCCGACGGGATCCACATCCACCTCCTGAAGGCCTCAGTGGAGCGCTCTACCGAACGCCGGACATTGGGACGCCCCGGCGCCAATAGCCCACTGATTAGACTCCTTGCCGAAGCATTCACTGAGCTACTGAAGGCGGGTACCTTCCCCGCAGCCCTGAACGGTAGCCTCCTAGCAGCGCACCCAAAGAAAGCCGATGCAGATATCACCTCCCCCGCCGACTTCCGCCCCATCACGCTTACGCAAATAGTCAGACGCATCTTTGAAAACTGCTTTCTTATCTGATTACGAGCCACCCCGGCTCTGCTACCCATGCTACCCAAGCTGGCTTCAAATCACGGTACTCCTGTCATACCCAAGCACTTACCGCCATGGAATCTGAGACACAGTCAGAAGAAGAGTGGAACGATGTCTGTCTGGACATAACCAAGGCATACGACAAGGTCGCTCTCCCACGCCTATGGGTACTTCTGCGTCACGCTGGAATGCCCGAAAACTGGATCAACTGCCTCCGCGCGCTGTTTGAGAGGGTCCCTACCCGAGTGACATACCGCGGCACGCTCTCGTCTCTATTCCTTAGAACGAATGGCATCCTACAAGGCATAATCGTCGGCCCCCAGCTCTTTATTATCTACATGGATTCCTTAGCTGTCACGCTAGCACAATTTCGGCCCAAGCTCCTCTGTTCTTATTTATTTGTCGATGACACACGGATCCAAGCCCCTTGATCGGTTTCGCTCCAGCCCTTCTTAGATGACATTGATGCGTGGGGACGCAAATCTGGCCTCGAACAGGGTGTCATTAAACCCCGAGTACGATCTACCGACTTGCAACACGCGGCGCCAACCCTCCGTATAAATGGTGAGCTTATCACGCCGACGCTTGCAGGCGCACCTTGGAACACACGTTACCTCCCCCTGAAACTGGCGCCCACACATGCCGAACCGAAACACTCCAAATACCTGGGGTTCCCACTCTCTCACGGAGTACCAGGAATCAATCTCGCTAGACATATGGAATCCCTGGTTGCAGCATTGTCACTGGGTATCGCCTCTTTCCGCGCTTATGGCTTCCATGGCTTCAGCTGGCGACACCCCCGCAACCGACTGGTGATGTTCAAAACATTCATCCTATCCACGGCTACATATGGGCTGAACATTATTGCCTGGGCTCCGCCTATATGGAAAGATGCGTTGGACCCCCTATTCGAGCACTTTAACTCAGCACTCATTCAAGCAGCAGCCATCATCACGGGCACTAAATACCCTCGGTTTCCCAAACATCAAACAAACTTACTTCACTTTTGCGGCCTGCTCCCCGCGCGACCATTCGCGGACTACCTCGGAGGTTGCCTGGGAATACAACTCGACTCAATGGCAAGCACAAATCCACTTACCCCTCTGATCTCTGCCCTGTCTGCCCCGGTAGCCACAAGTTCACTACCAGCCACTTTACCTGCATCCAACAACTGATTCGACGCATCCTGATAGGCCCGAAACTGCCGCCTATTGGCCCTGACCTTCTTCAGT